GAGGCGGTGCGGTAGTTCGACTGCTTTTCATAATTTTGAGCAGTGTCGCGAGACGTCTTAAAGAGAGCAACCTAGTCCGCGACTCAACCTGGTAATTTCTTCGGTGGAAATATTTCAAAATTCGAAAACAACAATTTTAAGATGTTTCAAACTGCCATGGCTACCGAAGAAATTATTGGTTGCAGATATTGTCTTTGAGAAATCGTTCACGTTTGAGGGAAGTCACTTCAAACGGTGGCAACAAAAGATGATGTTCTTAACATTGTAAAAAAAAGTTGCTAACATTCTGATCGATGACATTCTGTTGCTTCTTCTGGATCAATCGAACAAACTAACGGTAGTAAATCTGGAGATTTAGAAGAAACACTTAATAGTGTTGAAGTTGAATCTGCTGCACAAATTAAAGCGAATGATTTAAAGCATAGAAAAGAAATTACCTTATAGAAAGAGAATGAAAATCTCTACAAAATCATATTTTGAATAGACTCGCAGATGATCTGTATGATAATTACAGTTGATGTGATACTGCAAAACAAGATTGAGAGACTCGAAAAAAGAAGTATGACGTGGAAGCTGAAGCAAAGAAGTATGTTGTTAGCCACAACTTCAAGTATCAAATGCAAATATGTAAGGTCGATGGAGGCTCAATGTTACGAACTTCAAAAGATTGCTTAAAAGATCATCACAAAAGGTATGTGTTTAAATGAACAATTTCAAATTGGTTTTATTATTGACAAACTACCCCATAATTTAAATGTTTAAAAAAGGGAATCTTTGAGACAATATCAAAAAGAAAAAGTCTTGGTTGTTTCAAACAACAAAAAGAAATTCGGTGTAGTTATGAAGCCAATAGGAAAATGATTAAAGAATCAGAACCACAATATTATGAATCGAATTAAGAATGGGAACGCTTCTACGATCCCAATAGCTTCAACTAGGCAACAACCACCACCTAACAGAAATGACGTTGGGTTCCCTTTGTTTTAACTATGGAAAATCAAGTCATATGACTAAGAAATATAGAAGTAAGCTTGAACTTGGTGTTGTCCCTAATGCACAGGTCAACCTGACTAGTGGACAATTTATTGCTATAATCATTGAAATCAACATGGTTGATGGATATGTTGGTTGGTGGATAGACACCTACGTCTCTCGTTGTGTCTATTATGGTCGTGTTATGTTTAAAACATACACGAATACTAAAGATAAGAAAATGTTGTTGGGAGATGTACAAACCATGAATATTGCTGGAATTGTAGACATGGAGCTAAATTTCACTTTCAAAAAGACTTTAATCTTAAATAACGTTATGCATGTTCCTAAGATTAGAAAGAATATTGTTTCTGGTTTTCTTTTAAATAAGGCAGGGTTTAGTCAGTCTATTGGGGTAGATTTGTACGCCATTACGAAGAATGAAGTTTATATGTTTAAAAATTTTGTAAAGAATTTGAAAATGATATAATAAGAATATGAAGTGATAGAGAAACTGTATGATTGTAGTTTATTAATGAATTTTATACATGGAACTGTACATGAAACGACTGCACCATACGATCTTACAATGAATGGTAAAGTAGAAAGAAAGAATAGAACTCTTACTGAACTTGTTGCAATTATGTTGAATTCTAGTGTTGCACCTCACTGGTGGAGAGAAATTTTATTGACGGTTTTCTATATCCTGAATAAAGTCCCCAAGTCAAAAAGTAAGATCTCTCCTTATGAGATATTAAAGAAAAGACAACAAAAGTTGTCTTATTTGAGAACTTGGGGTTTTCTGGCTTATGTCAGAATTCCGGATTCGAAACGAGTTAAACTCGCTAGTAGAGCATATGAATGTGTTTTCGTTGGGTATGCAGCAAACAATAAAGCATATAGGTTTTATGACCTAAAGGCAAAAGTGATCATAGAATCAAATGATTCTGAATTCTATGAAGACAAATTTCCTTTCAAATTGAGAAATAGTTGGGGCACACAATCGAGTCACATTCCTATGATAAGAAGCACATAAAGCAACAAAAATGTAGAAACTGAACTTTGACGAAGTAAATGAGTAAGAGTTGCTAAAGACTATGAGCCTGATTATGCGGCTTATAATGTAGAAGAAGATCCAATGAATCTTCAAGAAGCCTTGTCATCTCTGGATGCTGATTTATGGCAAGAAGCTATCAATGATGAGATAGAATCTCTAGAATCTAACAAGACCTGACACTTAGTAGACTTTCCTCCTGGTTGCAAACCAATTGGTTGTAAATGGGTTTTGAAAAAGAAACTAAAACCTGATGGAACTATTGATAAATACAAGGCTCGCCTTGTTGCCAAGGGTCTTAGACAAAGAGAAAATATAGATTTCTTTGACACCTTTTCTCCTGTCACTAAAATTACATCCATTAGGGAACTTATTTCAATAGCTACTATTTATAACTTAATAGTACACCAAATAGATGTTAAAATAGATTTTGTAAATGGTGACTTAGAATAAGAAATCTATATGGAACAACCGGAAGGGTTTTTGATCTATGGACAAGAAAACAAGGTCTGTAAGTTAGATAAGTCTTTGTATCAGCTAAAATAAGCTCCAAAGAAATGACATGTAAAGTTTGATAACTTAATGGTATCGAATGTGTACAAAGTGAATGAAAGTGACAAATACGTTTATTACAAATTTGAGAATTGCATTTGCACTATCATATGTCTATATGTAGACGATCTACTCATATTTGGATCAAACATTCAGGCCATTAATGATATGAAATCATTGTTGTGCAACAACTTTGATATGAAAGACCTCGGAGAAGCGAGTATGATTCTTGGTATCAAGATCACGAGACCCGAGCAAGGAATTTCTTTGGATCAATCATAATATGTGAAAAAGATCTTAAAGAAATATAATTACTTTGACAGTAAACCTGTGAGCACACCAAATGATCCAAGTGTGAAGCTGTTTAAGAACACTGGTGAAAGTGTTATACAAACAGAATATGCGAGCATCATTGGAAGTCTTAGGTATTCCACTGATTGTACTAAATCCGACATTGCATATGTTGTGGGATTGTTGTGCGAGTTTACTAGTAGATCGAGTAATGAACATTGACAAGCTATTGAGCGAGTCATATGATACCTTAAAAGGACCATGAATCTCGGTTTATATTATCAGAGATTTCCTGTTGTACTTGAAGGATACAATGATGCAGATTGGAATATCTTATCAGATGATTCCAAAGCAACTAGTGGCTATGTATTCAACATAGCTAGAGGAGTTGTATATTGGAAATCAAAGAAACATATTATCCTGAGAATATAGCATTAGCGACTTCTAGAGAAGAACCAAGTTGGTTAAGATGCTTGCTAATTGAGATTCCCTTATGGGAAAAACATATGCCAGTTGTGTTGATCCACTGTGATAGTACCACAACTATTGCAAAAATCGAGAATCATTATTATAATGGTAAAAGACATCAAATTAGAAGAAAACACAACATTGTTAGAGATTGTATCTCTAAAGGAGCTGTAAGAGTGGATCATGTACGCACTGATGAAAATTTAGTAGATCCTTTGACGAAAGGATTAGCTAGAGAGAAAGTCTATAATACATTATATAAGATGGAACTAATGCCTATAGGAAAGTGAGTTTCTCATGATGGTAACCCGACCTAAATGACTGGAGGTCTCAAGAAATATGTTCAATGGGTAACAACAAGTTATGAGTAATATGAGATGATCATGCAAGTAAAGCATGAATCCTGAAGTAATAAGAGGATGAGATAATAGAAACTCTTAATGAAATCTATACTCTGTATGAGGGAGTACCTAGGCTACAAGAGTACTCTTGATAGACTCACCTATGTGATGGTGGAACTTAGGCCGGTTCCTATGGAATTTCGAGGCAGAATTTCTAGAGCCTTCAATAAACTGGGATACATGTGCAGGACCACTAAAGCACGAACTATTAGAATACACCTTAAGAAAATGTTGTGTGCGAGTTTGATGTCTGAGATAGAGTTCAAGACATTTGTATCACTCTTGTTGAATTGGAATCCTACTTGCTATCAAAGGTTCAAGTCGTAGACACCTTTGTTTGTGAACAATCTTAGAAACATTTGACGTTACTTCTAAAATCATTTTTTTTTAATTCAAGTGAGGGATTGTTGGAACATGTTCATGTTCCAATATGTTGAATTTAAAAATTTCTCAAGTCCCACATTGTTAGAATATCTTTTTGGTTGAAAAAAACCATTTAGTCCCACATTGCTCATGTGAAAAATATTAACTATCTTACTTCAATATATAAGAGTGCACATGTTTCATTCCAAATCACACTAAAAACTACTCTATTAGTTTTTCCTTCCTCACTCTCATAACTCTGCATCTCTCGAATTGTCGAAGCGCCATCTTCTTCCTCTTTCTTCCTACTCGTTGAATTTTCCGAATATTTTCTTGAATTCTCTTTAGAGAATTATGTTAATTTCTCCTTATTTGAGTTGGGAAATTTTCAAGTTTAATCTTTTGGATTCTCTTTGGAGAATTATTTGAATTTCTCTTTGTTGGAGAAATTATTATGATTGGTCAAATGACCATCATTAATTTCTCTTTGGATAATTGGATAATTATTTGAGTTTCTTTTTGTTTGGAAAATTATTATGACTGGTCTTTGTACAAGATATTACGAGAGAGTGTATTTTTAGACCGATTATCTATCATGCTTTATATCATTTTGAACAGTATTATGAAACGTCTTAAAGAAAACGACCTAGTCCGCAACTCAACCTGATAATTTCTTCGATGAAAAATATTTCAAAGTCTGAAAACAACCATGTAATCATCTCAATCACAAACCTTACAAAATAAATTCTCTTTTCCTCATATGTTTCACAATAGCAATATCTTAACCTTCATGAAGCCAAACTCACTCACACAATCTTTCACCATTTTTGCACCAAACAAATTCTCTATCAACAACCATATATAAGTCTCCAATATCAAAAGAAACTTCAAAATGAAATATGGGAAAAGTATTATTGTGTTGTTGCCTTTGTTTATTTACTGTGCAGGAGAATAACAGAAGAAAAAATCCAACGAAAAAACCCTTTTGTTCACACCACCGCTCGAAGCTGCAGCACCCGCGAGAAGACAACTCCGCTGCACCTACTCTCACCACCGCCGATCTCCTTCCTTCACTTCAACAATCCACTCCGCTGACGACCGGTCCCTTGCCACGCATCAGCCATGCACCTTCTCCGGGTTACAAGATCCACGATGCACTCCCTCTTCTGACGTCGCAAACCTTCAGCCGCACAACATCCACCATACAGCTCCGGCGGCCACCACTACCTCCGCCCAATCTCCATCGGCCGACGCTAGCCGTTGTTACGGAATCGCCATCAACACCCTCGCCGTCCATCCCTTGCCCGATCCACTTCAACCGATCAAACCAGCGGCGGCCTAAACGGTCGTGCTGCTCTATCTCTCCTTCCTCTCGGGCTCACAACCGCTCAGATCGCCGTTAGCTTCCTCCGGCCATCAATCACTGATCGCCACCGCCGCGTCGCCATAAAAAGCCACCGCTGCATCTCTAAGTCCTCTATTATAAGTTGATCTTTGTTCATGCAATATTTATGGTGATGATGAATTTGAAAGGAAGAAAGATTTGCTTGTTGATGTTGTTGTTTGGGAAAAGAGAAGACATCGTGAGACATGAAGAGAGAAGTCTTGTCTCTCTGAGTTGTGTTATCAGTTATCACTCTTTTCATTCTTTCATTATTATATTTTATATTTTTTATTATTATTAAATGACCATGCCACGTGTTCATTACCTTCTCCTTTGTTGTTAGTATTCTATCAATATGTGGGAATTAGGGTTTAATATGGGTTTGGGCTTTGTTTCTACTATTTTACTAATACATTAACGCTATTTTCATCTGCACCCCTCGAGTTTAATTTATTTTATTTAGTTCAGTTAATTTATGAAAAAAATACAATAAAAACAACAAATAATAATAAACAAAAAAATGTCTTTTTATTAAGTTGACAATTAGACCTCTCTATTGAATTTAGAGTTGCAAATAAACTCATGCATAATTTCAAACTTTTATTAATTAAATATTTTATAAATAACATGATTGGTTGATACACATCCATCATATTCTTTGGTGGGCTCAACACCTTAGCAATTAATTGTTCAACATCAAAACGTTAAAATTCATGCGAAATTTGATTTTACTCAACGCAATAATCAAACGACATCGCTCAATGCGATAAACAAATAAAATACATTTAAAACTAACTAATCAACAAATCAAATAAATTTTATCGCCTAGCGCGAACTAATTTCAATGAAGATTGACTTTTCTTCAATCCACCAAATCAAAACTCAAAATAGTTAACCAATTACAAATCATTTTTTCTACTAACTTAACAAAAAAATCAAGATATTTTCAGAAAAAGGATTAAGGAGAATTGCTATCAAAATTAATTGCGGACTGCGTTTACGATCACTCATTTTTCAAACTCAGACAAAGTTCAAGGATAAATTCGAAAGCAATTTTACGCAATCCCATAAAAAACACCAACCAAACTACGAACTACGAATTGAGACTCTGATTTCTCTTAAGAGGATACGTAGGCACGCGACTTAAAAATCAAGGCGAGTCCTCCAACTAAAAAACTAAAACCATTTTTATTTTTTCTAAGCTTTAACAATAACATACCTTTAGATAAGAAATTCCCAATTTACCCTTAGACCTAAAAATGGAGCCCCTTGAGAACAAGGGAGATAAAGAGTGCCTAACACCTTCCCTTCATCTAACCAACTCGCGAACTTAGAATCTCTAACAATTAGGGTTACCCATTATTCCCCCGTCCTTAGGACAAAAATTAATGGTGGCGACTCTCTATTTTTGTCAGTTACGACACAGGGACGTGATCATAGATGAGCTTAAAGAATGTGATTGGACTGAAAATGTAAACAAATATTCAGTGAGAATCTTATGTGAAGAACCAGCCACTGAAGTTGAAAGAGAAGAAGTTCGACCAGAAGAGTGAGAAGTGATGCAGGCCCAAGCAGACCTCAGAGAATAAGACACATGCCTGCAAGGTTACAAGAATGTGTGATTACATCAGATGATGTGGTCGATAATGAAGGTGAGCTAGTACAATATTCTTTATATGTGGATGTCGAACCAGTCAATGCAGCTGAGGCATTGAAGGATTTGAAGTGGGCGAAAGCTATAATTGAGGAATTGAAGTCCATCGAAGTCAACAACACTTGGCCACTTATCGAAACGCCTCAAGGCAAGAAGGCAATTGATGTCAAGTAGGTATACAAGGTGAAGTTGAATCCCAAAGGTGAAGTAAATCGACACAAGACAAGACTTGTGACAAAAGGAATTCTTCAAAAAGAAAGAATCGACTTCGATGAAGTCTTTGCACCTGTTGCTAGGATATAAACAATTTGGTTGGTTGTTAGTCTAGCAGAAATGAACAGTTGACACATATGTCAGATGGAAGTGAAATGTGCATTCCTAAATGGAACTTTATACAAAGAAGTTTATGTTGCATAACCAGTTGGATTTGTGAAACGTGGAAAAGAGAGAAATGTGTACAGGTTGCATAAAGCCCTGTATAAACTTAAACAAGCTCCAAGAGCTTAGAATAAGAAGATTGACAGTTTCCTAAGGGAGAAGGAATTTGTGAAGTGCACAATTGAGTATGGAGTATATGTAAGAAAAGAAAGAATGAATTGCTTATACTATTTCTCTATGTAAATGACTTGTTAATAACAGGTAGCTGCAAAAAGAAAATCGAAGATTTCAAAGGTGATCTCAGCAAGGAATTCGAAATGTCAGATCTGAGAAACATTTCATATTTCCTTGACATCAAATTCTATAAGAGAAGTAGAGGTTTGATGATGTATCAAAGAAGATATACGAGTGAAATTCTCAAGAGATCTAATATGGAAGAATGCAACCTGACTTCGACACCTTCTGAACCAAGATTGTAATTATCAAAAAATTCAGATGAAGATGATGTCGACCTAACCCAATATATAAGACTTATTAAGTCATTAATGTACATTTGTTACACAAGGCCTGATCTAGAATATAATTTGGGTATGGTGAGTAGATTCATGAAGAATCCAAAGTTATCACATCTAGTTGGGACGAAGAGGATACTAAGGTATTTAAAAGGAACTCTCGACTATGGTATTATGTTTTTTTTGCAGATGATGTAGGAAAATAATGCAAACTAGTGGAATACACATACTCAAGTTGGTGTAGTGATGTCGAGGATCGAAAATCCACAGCTGGCTATGTGTTTATGATCGTTGGTGCACTAGTTGCTTAGAGTTCGAGAAAAGAACCAATAGTGGAATTGTCATCATGTGAAGCAGAGTACATAATTGTTTCTTTTTGTGCATGTCAAGCAACATGGATGTTGGACTTGGTCGAAGAGATTATAGGGAAAAATCATGGAGTAATTACCATGAAGATCGACATCATGTCAGCTATCAATCTGGTGAAGAACCCGATAGCACATGGAAGAAGAAAGTATATCAAAATGAGGTTCCATTATCTTCGAGAGTAGGTAGCATAAGGAAAGATGAACTTGAAACACTGAAGAACTGAGAATCAGATTGTAGACATCATGACAAAGGGTGTGCAGGTCGAAGTATTCAGAATACTAAGAGCTATGATGAATATAGATAGCTTAGACACAATGAATTAGGTGGTATATTGAGATTGCAATTCCTTGTGTCGAAGCAACATGTTTCTCGACAGAACAAGGTTGTGTCGAATTAGTCTAATTATTTATTGAGTTGTATAGTATGTCGAAGTGTCGAAGTAGGTGGCTTCATATAGGATTTTGACTTAGGTGTAAATATTTGTGGGTTTTGGATTAGGGAGGAAGCAAGCTCATTATAAATGGAGGGAGTAACCCCTATTTTTGTAATAAATCAGATAGAGTATTCAAAGAATTTACAGTTGCAAGTGAATAAGATTTTTCTATAGTTTGTGGGCAGAGAGACCCTGTGCAGAAAATTACCATCTTCTCCTTATTTTGTTCAAACCCTAATTTGTTCTTTCATTGTTATTGTGTACTGCTAACGATCCTGTTCATCAAGATTGATAGAAACTCTCCATTGATTTTGGTGGATTTCCAACAGTTCCAAACTCAGTTCTTGAATTGAATTGACTTTATCTTATCTTGCAATGTGACTTCACGGCTTGGACTTTTTATGTCTGGCTTAAGAAAATAATAACAAACCACACTCTTTTATGAATTAAAATAAAATTGAACACAAATAAAAAATTGATCAACAATTCTAAATGACTAAATTAAATTTTAAATTGAATTCTATTAGAAATTCAATTAAAATTGAATATGGTTTTAAATTGAAAACTAAATTGATTTTGAAGATAAAATATTAAAGTTAATTTGACTATTAAATTAAAATGACTAAATAATCTAATAATTTTAATTAGAAATTATGAATTACAAATAAGGTTGACTTTAATAAAAAAAACTTTTGACTTCGAATTAAAATGAGATAGAAATTGCAAAATGAAAAAAAAATGATATGGACTTGTATATATATTTTATGATTTTTTTGAAATAAAAATGAAATGATGAATTAAAAAGGAACAATATGTAATAATCGACTTTTGACTTTTTTTATGAAATGGAAAGGGGCAAAACTAAGGTACGAAAACGGTCCCTATTTAAATATTTTCAACTAGAATCACTACAAGAATATATGTCCCCAGCGACATATATTAGCGACGTGCTTATCACGTGAGTAGTAGCGACGTGATAACCACGTCACTAATATATTTTAATGACATGTAATGCAAATCAGAGAACGTTGTAAAGGGGGAAATTTGAATTTTGGTAGCGACGTGATAGCCACGTCGCTATATTTTAGGGGGGAAAATAAATTTGGCTGATGACAGAGTTGCAGAGTGGGAGAGAGAATAATTTTTCTGTTTAGTTTGTAGCGACGTGATTATCACGTGGCAACGTTGCGACGTGACAGTCACGTCGCTACTAGACGTTACATCTCCAAAATTTTCATTTTTACAGAAGCGTTGCTTTCTTCTTCCTTCCTCTTCCTTTCTTCTTCCTCACAAACCCATACTTCTTCCTCTCATCAAACCCAAATTCCCTAATCAAATTTCCTCCATCCCAAATTGTTGAAGAAAAATAAGGTATTCATATTTTGATAAATGTTTATTTCGTTTGTTCATTATTTATTATACTGAAAAGAAATATTAAAAAAGGTATTTGTTCGTTTGTTCATTATTATTTGTAGAGAAATTTGAAGAAGAACACCAAGAACTATCCAAGAAGACGCAAATTTATTGAAGAAATTATATAGAGGTATTTATGCATTTTTTTTTAGATTTTATATGTATTATATAGATTAGTGGTATATGTATTTTGTGGTTAGGAAGTATATGTATTTTGTTAGTAGTATATATGTACTGATAATAAAAAATTTTAGAAAACA